GGACTCTGTAGCCCCAGCCCTGTTTCACCTTTTCCATAGCACTTACCACTACCTGACCCATTATATTTTATATTACGTATATGATACATGTTATATTTATTTGTTCATTGGTTTCCCCCATCAGACTATTGAGCTCCACGAGGGCAGGGACTTTCTCTTGTTCGCCATTCTATTCCCAGCTTTTACCTCAGTATACAGTATACAGCACGTATACATGGTATACAGCAGGTGCCCCATAAACATTTGCTGACTGAATGACTGCAGATAAAATGAACAGCTGCCATGTCCCTATGGCTTCAGGGACCTGCGAGGAAACTCTTGCCCTCCTGCTCCCTCCCCAGCCTCCTGCTCAGTGAACAAAGCTCCATCCACAGGGAACAAAGCCCAGGCTGATGGCACTCGTCACCGCCGACAGTTCTGAATACTTAAAGGTGGGACCAGTCCTTTGCTAGACCTTTGGTATACGTTATCTCATTAAACCTTGAAACAATCCCATGTGGTGGTACCATTATGGTCCCTAGTTTACAAGAGATGAAACTCAGGCACAGAGAGATTATATGGCTTGTCAAGATCACATATAGGAAGTGGTAGGGGCAGGATTTGGACTGAGGACATTTGAATCCAGAGTCCATGCTCTTAACCATTATGCCAAGAATATAGCTTCCTGGGGAGGAGACCCAGAGCCTGACTTGCACACCACGCAGGTCGCTAATTCATTTCAGAACTTCTCTTGAGTGCAGGGCTTGTAAGGAGGCAGAGGGAGCAGTGCTGGGGCCTAGACATGGAGGGAGTATTAGAGAGAGGGCCTTCGAAGCCCAGGGTGCCTCTCTCCATCCTTCCATATTTTGGGGTCCCCAGATCATGACAGCCTGGGAGGAATCCCATGCCAGATCATCTCCCACTAATTGGCTTAGCAAACCACGCTTATCTGGGCAAAGCTGGGCCCAGTGAGTTCAAGATTAGGGAAAGCAGGATTCATGGCTTACGGCTCTGCTGCCCACAGGGTCAAAGGAGACAGGGTTAGGCCTTTAATTGGCTTAACAGCCCTGAGTGGCTTAACAGCTCAGAGGGTTGGGGTGGGGGGCGGGGAGAGATGAAAACACAAGTTGGTGTCCAGCTCACAGCCAGCTTCACGTCCCACCAGAGGATCTGTGTGCTCTTCTCTCAGGGATCACTCTCTCTGCCCGAGGCCATTGCTCCGGGATCCCCAAGTGCAGCCAGTGTGATGGTGCCAGGGATGGAGGTTGGGCTTGTGAGTTGGACAAAGCTGTGTTGGCACCTCACCCTCTCCCCCACTTCCTCAGTGGGTGACCTTGGACAAGTTACTTGACTTCTCTGAGCCTCACTTTTTGTCTGATAAATGGGTATATCAGTTGCCACCAGAGAGAAGGTTTCAGGCTAAAAGGAGATCACAAGCCTGGAGCACCTCACATGGGGCCTGGGGACATGGTGGGTGTGCAGTTCCTGAGTTCCTTCCCCTCCTCTCCCTCCTCAGGGCCCCATTTTGTACTTAAAATAATAATAACACCACCCATCTCATAGGGTTGTTTGGGAATAGAATAAGAAAAGATCTTATCAGTCGTGAAGAGCTAGACCAGAGGTTACAAAGAGGAGAGCCCCACAAATGTGTTTCCTTTGGTTGACACTATTTTAAAAAATCCTAATTAATAGCTGAAAATTGGCAGAATTCACACAAAAATCCCAATTTCCCATTTCTCTTGAGAAATCAAGCCTTGACAATTCCAGGCCCACGGTTTCTCATGGCACCGTCAGCTGAGCTGGGTGGTAGCTTCCCCTTTTCTAGGACACTGCTTGCCCCATAATGTCCTCTTGTCAGACACCCATATGCTGACACAGGTCTGTGTTACCTGCCTCCCCAAAGTATTCAACTTTTATTCGGCATTGTATAAGTGTGAGGAGTTGAAAAATATATTTACAATTCAAATTATTTTATTCAGAATTAAGGGCGTGGGATCAGGAGGTAAATGTGAATGACTGGCCAGTCTCCCAGCTTTGGCCCTGGAGGGCTCAGACACACATCTCTTTCCTCATTACCCCAGGTTCCACCACTCAGAACATCCGCACAAGTCCTGCTGAACAGTGAACCTGTGCATTGTGGCAACATTTCACATGGGAGGCAAACATGTTGTGCCAACATTGCTTAATTTCTAGAAATGCCAGCCCTGGTGGCCTCTGTATACCTTCTCTGGATTTGCCTCCATTTAGCCAGACCCTGAGCCATTTTGGAATCCAAAGCTTTTGGGACCCAGGGGCCCAGAGGCTTTAGCTCTGATAACTAGACCCAGAGTCAGAATTCCAGAAAAGGGAAGGTTCTTAAGGTCATCAAATTTAACCTTCTCACTTCACATACAGGGAAACTGAGGTCCAGAGGTGGGAAGAGCTTCACCCAAGGTCACCTAGCAAGCCAATTACAAACTGGCATGAAGATGAAGGTCTTCTGATCCTACCCCACCCAGCCCCGAATCCAGTACTTTCCCCACAATACACACTGTCTCCCCATTCTTATCCACATAGTACAACTCCTTCCCCCTCCTTTCACATTCTTATCTCAGTGCAGCAGAAGCCCTAACTTTCTATCATCCTGGAATCTTGGGATCTCAGACTCATAATGCTTTGAGCTTGGGGGACACTTTAGTGGCAGAATTGCAGGGTGGATAAATTGAACTTGGGCTTTGAAGACAGAGAGTCCTGAGTCCCAGCTCTTCTACTCCCTCGCTGTGTGACCTTGGGCAAGGATGCCCCCTTTCTGAGCCTCCATTCCCTCATCTGTTAAGTAGGAATGATAATACTAACCACATCACAGGATCATTAAGAGGGATACAGGAGATGAAAAAGGTAAAAAGGCAACCAATAGGCTTGGCACAAAGCGAGTGCTTAATAAAATAATTGTTATAGAACTGTAAATTAGGGCTCTCATGCCCCTAATGCCTAAGTGAAATAGTCCAGATGTGATCAAACGGAATGGAACTGGACAAACTGGACCACATATAACCCTGTCTAAACTGTTACAGGCCTGATACTGATACACTCAATTTTTTTTTCGAGAGAAGCTGGGACTCTAGGTTTTAAAAATACTATACAAGCCAAACAAAACACTTCTGTAGGCCAGATTCAACCCAAAGGCCATTAGTTTGTCATTCCTGCAAAATCATCTCATCCCAACCCCCTCACTTCACAAATGAGGGAGAGTGGAGATAGCTAGTCCTTTTATCTAAGAAACCATGGATCTCCATGGACCCTCAGTCATCACAGCCACTCCCCTGAGACCCTCACCCCAACCCTTTGGTCATTTTTTGCCCTGTTTTAGGGAAATTCAGTTTATGTTCAAGAAAGAAGTATTAGTTTCTTGTAGGTGGATTCTGAACAAGGGGAAGAGGGGGGCTTGAGGTAGCCAGTGAGTCAAGGGGCAGCTGGCCCACTTTAGACTGAAGGGAAAGGGGAATGAAGCTTTGGCTACCAAGAATAGGAAGTTACCATTTCAGAATCTAAAAATATCTTCACCATCTGTCCACTCGGGCACAGAATGATAAATGCAGATTAGTTCCTGGATGTAGACATGAATATTTTTATGTGTCAAGCTAATAATAATAACACCACCTTGTGTGGATAGAGCTCCACCCACCTTTTCCCCCAGGGCAAGCTAAATGGAATATGCACATCATCTTGGCAGGCATAGATGGGGAAACCAAGGCAGAGAGAGATTTGGCAATGCAACAAGGGTGACACAGCAAGTGAGCAGCTGGGACAAACCCTGGGAGTCCTGTTTCCAACCCTCAGCCCAGAACTGAATCTTCTGAGTTAGGCAGAATGTGTTAACAAGTACCAGAATAAATATAACAACAGCAATAACCACTCTTGATATCTCCAGAGTGATTTTGACCTTTTCCATGCTTTCCCGACATCTGTGACAATCATGACAATCTATTACATTCCTAAAATATGTTACAGTCTGCAGGGCCTTCACACAGACTTCTCCTTTGACCATCCCAACCGGTAAGGAAAATGTGATGGCAGACCAATGAGATTAAGAAGAGTAGAGATTCTCTCTCATTTCACAGGTGAGGAAACTGAGGCTTGGAGGGAGGAGGGGGTTTGCCCAAGATCACATAGTAGCCAAGTTCATTCTGTCAGTGCACAGTAAAGCCTAAGCTATTAAAGCAATTCTGGTTCAAGGGGAACCCTAGGTTTGGAATTCTCCCTCTCTCCAGTTAGCTCAGCTCAGCACAGCCCAGCAGGTACCCTCAGTCTTGGCAGAGGAAGAAGCCTGGGAGTGGGCTGCTTTTACAAAGCCTCAGTTTTGTTTTACTGTCCTGGGATTAAAGGACAGCTAGTGGTCATCTAATCTCAGATTCAAGATCTCAAATCCCCTTGGCTCCATTGGGGGGGGAGGCACTGGGGAACTCCTAGGGAACAGAAGGAGCCAGAGACCTTCTCAGCAGGGTCCAGTACATCCTTTCCCAAAAGTCCAAAAAGTTTGGGTGGGATATTCATTTAGCTGCCTCAAATTGTTTCTCCTAGGAGGTTGGGAATGCACTGCAATTCCGAAGTGAGAATCTTTGAGAGCAGGGAAGGACTTCTGAGATCTTTTCTAAGCCCAGGCTCAGCACTCAGGCAGAGAGGAGTGGGTCAGGGCTGGAGGGAGCCCTGGGGCCCTTTTCCGAGCTTCACACTCATCCCAATCAGCCCTGGGCCCTCCTCATTCACACACCCCTGAGGATCTCTTTCTCTCTCTTCTTGCCCCATCCCCTCCTCCCTCAATGGCCAGATCAGAAAGGATGATACTGGGGTTGGTCAGAGTTTGAGGGCAGAGGTCAAGGAGAAGCTGGCAGAGAAGAAATCAGAACTGCAATAGGGTGGGGCGGGGCGGAGGTCAGAACAGGAGGGGGACCTGGAGAGGTCAGAGCAGGGCTGGGGCGGCAGGCAGCCCCTCGCAGCCGGCACTCCTCGGACTCAGCTCCCTTCACCTGCGCTTCTCCTACCTCCAGACCTGGCCGAGCTGCAGGAGGTGGACGAGGGTCTGCAGCAGCCAGACGCAGAGGCGGCAGCAGCGGCGGCGGTAGGCTCTGGCCGAGGAGGGCGCGGGCCGGGGGTCCGGCTCCGGGCTGCCTTCTTTGGTCCGGAAGGCGACGGCGCTGTCCTTGGTGCTGATGGCGGGCCCACCGGCGCCGCTGTCCTTGGTGCTGACGGCGGGTCCCGGGGCCCCCGCGGGCTCCGTGTAGTCGTAGACGAACCAGCGGAAACTGAGCAGCTGCACGACAAGCGAGGGCAGGAGCACGAATAGCAACGTGAGGCCGAAGTAGGTGCGCTGACCCTGCAGGTAGTAGGAGGCCGCCAGCCACAGGTCCGTGGCGCCGTCGGAGAAGAACACGAGCAGCGCGCACAGCACCCAGCAGCAGTCCCGCAGCTCGTAGCGCGGCCCCGGGCCTCCCGCCCCGGTCACGCCGGGGCCCCCGG